TCCCTTCAGGCTGCTATAATAAAAGACCATAGACTGGATGGGTTATCGGCAACAGAAAGAAACTGATTTTGCGCCGCCATCTTGGAAGCTGGAAGTCCATGCTCTTTTGCAGAAGGGCTCCACTCCCATGACTATGTTCTCCCAAAGGCCCCACCTTTTACCATTGGATGTTACGTTTCAGCATATGAGCTTTAGGGGGACACAAAATTCAGACCATAGCACCCACTTTTGGAGACCTATGTTTTCCTAAGAAATAAGCTTTGCCTCTGCCTTAGTTTCTGGACAAGAATTTGTCTGAGACCCAGTTCCCCATTCCATACCCTGCAGGATAGGGGCATTAGATTTGGAAAATGTTCAAGATTGGTGTTACTAGTTACTGGTCTTGTTAAATCAGTTCCCAGTACTTTAATTGGGGGGAACTTGTTTTGTAAACAGTGTGGGTGTGGACACCCTGATGATCACTGGTTCCAGGATTCTCTATCTCATTAACTTATGTATTATTATTTTTTGCAGTACCAAGGATTGAACCCAGGACCTTTACACGAAGCTACCTTCCCCTCCTTTTGAAACAGGGTCTTGCTAAGTCACTAAGTTGTCCAGGCTGGGCTTGAATTTGCAATCCCAGAGTGGTGGGATTACAGACATGTGCCACCATGGCCAGCTTTCTATCTTATTAACTTCTTGATGCCACATTCCTTCACTGTCAGCACCAAATAGGATCAAAGTGCCCCCTTCTCTTTCTCCTTCTTTCTATTTCCTCCCTAACCCTCTGTCCACCAGAAGGCAGCAGGATATGCTTACATGGGCCAGACCTGGGTTTGAATCCTGTCTCTGCCATTCACTAGGTGACCTTAGATAACTTACTTGTCCTGTGGCAGGTTTTTTTAAGCTCACAAATGGGAATAACATCACCTTTCCTCTAGATTTGTAATGAGGATTCAATGTGGTAAGCATGTAAAATACAGAACACAGCACAAGTGGGTAGAAAAGATGACGTGCAACTGTGCCCAAGGGGGAACTAAGAAATTTGGGAGTGGTTGATGATGATAGTTATGATGTGTGACTGATTCTTAGGTGTAGTAGAGTAACTCAGCAAATGTACAAGACTGGGAGCAGAATGACAATGTAGTAAATTTAGTGCCTTTGTGTATTCATTCTCTCTCAGTATTTATTGAGCACCTGCTATGTGCCAGGTGTGGTTCTACTTATTGTCAACACAGTTCTCATGGACTGCTATTCCAAGAGTGGGAGAGACCCCAACCAAACAGCCCTTTCCATACAAAAGCTTCTCTGCCTATTGTAATGTCTTCTGTTTAGGTGTACCCCTAAAGCCTCATGCGGTCATGGATGGGGCTATTTTGGGTCTAGAGAGTGTGATTGGAATTGATTCATGGTGTAGTGCTAGGCTGAAGGGTGCTAGGATTAAGGGTGGGGTGTGAGTGCTTCCTGGCCTAAGTAGTCTCAATAAGATAAAAGGAGCAGGGGCCGGGGATTTAGCTCAGTGGTTTCGCTACCTGCTGCGCAGATGCAAGGACCCAAGTTCGATCCCTGGTACCAAAAAAAAAAGATAAAAGGAGCAGAAAGACTTGTTGCTTTTGCTACTTTGTGTGTGCCGTGTTGTTTCTCCTCTGTGATGCCTGTTTGCCATCCACCCTGCCTTGGAGCCAGTGGGTTATGGACTAAAACCTCTACAAACTGTGAGCCAAATAAACTTTTCCTCTTTTAACTTTGGGTGTCGGGTATTTTGTCTCATCAACAAGAAAAGTAACTAAGACCCCTATAAAGTTGGGTAGTTTGCGAATCTAACTGACCAAGAGGAGTATAGGATTGCAGTCCCTGGATGTAGAACCACCAGATAGAAGTGTGCAGTGGCTCTCCAAAACTCTAGAACCAAACACAAGCTGTTTGTTTCTTTCTTAGTGATATTTATTTTATAGGCAATGTTTCTCCAAAGTTGACAATGTTGTGTGCAATGGAAATCTGTTGAGCACTGAGTGATATAAGCTTATACAACATATCTGATTTCTGGAACTAACCATACATTTTTACAGGAAGAGATAAAAGATGGGTGAAATATAAACCTGGATGTTAAAAATGATCATCTCAAAATGGTGAGATAAAAGGCAATTGAATCCCTCCCTCCCTCCCTCTGCCTCTCCTTTCTTCCCTCTCTCCCTTCCTCCTTCCACTTCTCCCTTCCTTCCTTCCTTCTTTCTCCCTTCTTCCCTCCCTTTCTTCCTCTTCTCCTTCACCAAGCTAGGAGGGGCCGTAGTACAGTGTTTTGCAGGAAAGAGACAGGAGGAGGGCTTGGAGTGTGCAGAAGCTGGGCACAGCTAAAGCTGTAGACTGGAAGGGCAGCTCTAGTTTCCATGGGGTCTTAGTTTTCTACAGCCACAGCACTGCTGCAGCAAACTGCCCAGAAGGCAGTGGCACACAAGTATGAGCCAGTAACTTAGTCCAGGTGGCTGCTCTGGCCTTAGCAGAGTTCCCTCACATGTTTGGGTCCTTTAGTTGGTGGTGGGGACAGCTTGGCTCTGTTCCTGTGTCCCTGATGTCCATTCAGCAGGCTGCCTGGCTGTTCTCCTGGCAGAAGCAGAGGTGGAAGACAGCAGGAAACAATGTGGGAGCCTCCACTGGCTGGGGCTGGGGCCTGACGCATCCTCACCTCTGCTTCCTAGTGAGCAAAATAGGCCATGAGTCGAGCTCAGCTTCAAGGGGAGCTAGATGCTATCTCTTCGGAGAGAAAGACTCTGAAGTGAGAGTGTGCATCCAGGGCAGGGACCGCAAAGAGCCCTAAATTATTAACACAAAATTTGGATGAGGCCTTGAAAGGAGCCCATTCAGCTCCATCAGCTCCATAGCAAAGCCCTAGAGGCTGAGTGGGGAGCGAGGGACCCACAGTGTGTGAGGGGTCAGGGTCTTGATCCCCAGCAAGCATCTCTGCAGGGAAGTGTGGCGGAACCTGTCTCTCTCTGGTTTTTGTAATTCTCAAATGGCCCATGTGGCAAACTTCTTGTGGAATTTCTGTTAGAGTGGGAGAGACCTACCAAAACTAGCCTTTCCACCAGGAGCTCTTCTACCTGTGAACACTTTGGCTTCTGAAATGATCATCTGCAGCTTGAGGAAGTTTCCGCCCTTGTAACCAGGAGAACCCAAAGCATCCATTAAAATACACACACACACACACACACACATACACACACACGCACATTACAGTACTTGAATAGACATATGCACACACAACACACATATCAGTAGTATACATGTGTAATACATACACATCTACACACAGCTCCCTCCACAAATATGAGCACACACATATATGCATACATGCATGCACACACACAAGGACTTGTGCACGGACACACACAAAGGTGCTTTAGGACAGGGAGAATCTTGGATGATTTGTCCAATCCTGTCTTTCATAGATGGGGGTATGAGATCCAGGAGGTAACAGAGTCATGCAGAAGTTAATTGCATTAATTGCCTAGCCAGGACTTGGGCCTCAGTGGATCTTTGAGAACTCAGCACCCATTCCCCAAAAGCCTGACCCTTGTATTCCCCAGAGGCCCTTGTTTTAGGCCACTTGGATAAGTCTCTGTTCTTGATTTGGCGGGGGGGGGGGGATTCTCCTTGGATAGGCCAGTCTACCAGGTACCAAGATCAAGGATCTGGCCACTAGCAGAGCTCCTGGAAGACAGTTCTGTTCACACCTTGTTGTCTATGCTCAAGAAAGAAAAATAATTCCAGGACTTTTGGCACATCTGCCCCCTTGATTTTTTGTTTTTTTGGTACCAGAGATCGAACTCAGGACCTTGCACTTGCGGGGCAGGCGGTAGAACCACTGAGCTAAATCCCTGTGCCCCCCCCCCCTTCATTTTTAAGGCTGCCTCAGCCAGCTGAATTCCTGGTCATTGGCCTGGGGACCAATGGCTCCCCTGTTGCCGAAGCTGATATCTCTCACTGTATCTGTACAGTGCCCAGGACTGCTGAGCCCAACCCCTGGCTTGTTGACCTTACTTTATGATCTAGAGATGTGTAAAGTGAGAGGCCAACTCCAGGTAAACTTCCAGGCCACATCCTGGAAAAGCCACTCCTATCAGCTGCTGTGTTTTTCAATGCAAACAACTGTCTATATACTTACTCATTCCTAATTAGGGTGTGAAGAGCTGTGTCTGTCCTTGAGACTCGCTTGTGAAGATGTCACAGGTTGTGTGTAACACACACTAAAAGTGGCTATAGGTGCAAACTATGAGAAAGTTTTCCATGACCTCTGTGTCTTGCCTCAAGGGCTTGCTGGGATCCTGATGTGGAAGGAGAGATCGGGAGGGAACATGGTGTCAGAAGGAAGGGAGCAGGATAGGCAAAACTGGGCCTTCCTTCCTTCCTTCCATAAATAGTTATTGTAAGATGGGTGTGGAAGTGAGGGGTCACAGTCATGAGCTCTGGAGCATCTAGGCCGAGTCAAAAGCCATAGGATCTCAGCTGCTGGGCCAGGGCACAGCAATCAGAGGTGCCAGTGTGCTCCTAGGCAGTGTGTTCCCACTGGGCCTGTAGGTCCTTTTGCATCTCCTGACTCTTTGGGGCCCTCTCACTCAAGTCTGGGGTTTGACAGCCCCTCAGCTTCCTCATACCCTCGTTCCAACCTCTGGTCTGGAATCTCTCCTCTAGCTTTTGGCTCAGTCCTGCTGAACTCCTGGTTTTCTGGGCCCCTGAGAGTCTGGCCACACCCAAAGGCTCAGCTTTAGGGGATTCTGGCCATCAGCCTTGGTTTTCTGTGACTCTCAGGGGTCCAAGGGGATTGGGTAGGCGCTGGCCAGTCCTAGTGGCTTCATATCTACAAATGTCCACAAGACAGAGAAGGAGCTTCTGAGTTCTATTTTTAGAGGAGCTTTGTGGCTGTGGACAGGATGATATTTCTCAAAAGCGTTTTCATGATCACTTTGGCTTCTTGCATTGCTGCCTCGAAATTTCACCCATTCTACCTCCTTCCTCTTTCAGTTATTTACTAGTGGGAAGTGGCTGAAGGAGGAAGTGGTAGGGAGAGTGAGCAAGAACAGAGGGCTGGAGATGAAGGAGTGGCGCGTGTAGTGTGTCCTTGCTGACAGCATCCACCTTGGAGAACCGGCATAGACAGAAAATGTACCTGCTGCAGTTCTTTCCCCTCCTCTTCTGCTTCTCAGGTGAGTGAGTCCAGGTCTGGACTCATGGGTAAGGCTTAGCCCGAGGAAGTAGCTGCAGAGCCGCATGCCACAGCAAGAAGGTGTCCTGGATGTACAAACTGTGCTTCTCCTACTCTCCCTATAGTGTTTCAGTGATAAGGCAGAAATATGGATATCTTCCGCAGGAAGCCAGCCTGAGGCATAATTCCTGCCTCCTCAGGGGTGATCGTGTTTAAAACGGACTGACTGAAAAGTAAAGAAGCCATGGTTGCTCAGGAGGAGTGCAGGGTGCCCGGTCCTGGGCTGCACTGCTACCTTTGTGGCCACCTTATGAGCTGGGAAGGCTTCTGGGAAGAACAGAGGGAGGAAGAGATTTGAAGGAAGAAAGAGAATTTACCAGACCGGGGAGAGGTGACTCCAGGTATCTGGGGCAAAAGGAAATAATAGAAATAGTTGATGACCTGAAATGGCTAGGAGGAGGCAGGGATGAGGAGGAAAGAAGCACTGAGATGTGGATATCACTCTGATTAAAAATAAGGTTTTTGGGGGGCGGGGCGGCGGGGGGAGTACTGGGGATTGAACCCAAAACCTTTGCACTGAGCCACATCCTCAGGATTAAAAAAAAATTGTTTTATGAATCAGAGTCTTGCTAAATCCCTAAGTTGCCCAGGGTGGGTTTGAACTTGTAATCTTCCTGCCTCAGTCTCCCAGAGTGAGACTGCCCAGCTGAAAGGGATTTTCTGGACTTGTAAATATTGCTGGGCTCCAGGGCTCAGGCCCTGATCTTCCCCTTGGTCTAGAGTCACTCCTTTGTTGATCTAATCTGCTCTTGTGTTGCAATACTCATTGGCAGATAACTTCCAGTCATACATTTCTGGCCTGGATGACTCCCAGGACTCCAGAATCTTAGAGCTAACTGTCTCCTCAACATCTCTGCTCAGATGCTGAAATTTCAAATGAGATCTTATCACATCTCCCCCTGCATCCCTTTCTTCCCCAGCCTTCCCCACCTTTGCATTTGGGAAGCCCATCTTTCTCAGTGCTCAGGCCAAACTTGAGGGGCATCAGTTTCTTTCTCCATCACCCTCCAATGGCCTCAGGGTTAAAATCCAAAGTCCTTATGAGGCGCTCACAGACTGGTTTTCCTAGTCATCATCTTCCTCGCCTCACCCTGTCTCTTTGGCTCAACCCACTTGGCCACACTGGCCCCTTATCTTTTGCTTTTTCCTTTGGTACTGGGGATCGAACTCAGGACCTTGCGCTTGCGAGGCAAGCGGCGGAACCACTGAGCTAAATCCCCAGCTCCACACTGGCCCCTTAGATGTTCTTTGAACATGCCAGGGAAGCTCCTGCCACAGGGCTCTGTACTTCCTGTTTTATGCTCCACGTAGCCCAGGCTCCAGTCCTTTTCACCTTTGCTGCCTTTCCTTCTCACTACCCCCTTCGTGGATGACTCTTGTTAAAACTGCAGTTTCCTTTTATTATTTTTCTTCATTGTCTGTCCCCACCTTCACCTGGAAGAATATCAGCTTCCAGAAGGCAGAGGTTTTTGTGAATATAGCCAGAATCAGTACTAATTGGACAGTGAGTATTGAATGAATACATGTATACAATAAGAGAGAATACAATGGTGGTTACAATGTTGTCCTTTCCATCTTTCTCTTTCTACTTTCATAGAATGGAACAATTAAGACTCTTAATGTTAATTGAAGAAGACATAAATTTCTTGTCTGTGTACAATGGTGAAGCCACTTTGGAAAACAATTTGGTGATTTGTCAAAATGTTAAAATGGAATTACCACATGATGCAGGAATTCCACTCCTAGGTACACACTCAAGAGAAGTGAAAATTGTTATATGACCATGTAAAAACTTGGACTAAGAACATAAATGCTCATAACAAGAATGTTCATAATCTCTAAAAAGTGGAAACAACTAAATGTCAAAGCAAAACTGATGACTGGGTAAATCAAATGTGGTATATTCATTCAGTGGACTATTACTGAGCTCTAGAGTAGTTTAAGCCACTGACACATGCTACAACTTGGATGAATCTTGAAAACATGATCCAAAGGAAAGAAGGCAGATGCAAAAGGCCATATGCTGTATGATTCCATTCAAATGAAATCTCTAGGGTAGGCAAATCCATAGTGACAGAAAGTAAATTAGCGCTGTAGGGTGCAGGGAGGTGGTGGTTAAGGGAAATTACTAATGACTATGAGTTTTTTTTCCGGGTAAGTAAAAAATGTTCTACAATTAGGTAGCGGATGATGATTGTACAACTTTGTGAATGTTCTGAAACCCACTGAGATGTGTACTTTAGAAAATGAAATTTATGGCATGTGAATTATGTCAGTTTTTTGTTTTTGTTTCATTTTTGATAATGGGGTTGGAGGAGTCTGCCACTGTGCTACATCCTCAGCCCTTAATTATTTTAAAAATTTTGATCCAGGGTGTGGCTGAGTGGCCCAGGCTGCTCTCAGACTTGAGGTCTTCCACCTCAACCTCTCGAGTAGCTGCGAGTACAAATGTGTGCCACTGCACCTGGCTTTGTATCAATTTTATAAGTGGGAAAAAGTAAACCCTTTGCTTTACAATGCTTTAATTAATTTTAGAAAAGAAGAAAATAATCATAGTTTTTTTTTTTTTGGTACCTGGGATCGAACTCAGGTCCTTGCTCTTGCACAGCAGGTGGCGAAACCACTGAGCTAAATCCCCGGCCCCTCATAGTTTTTAACATAGTAAATTGGCATAGCAAAAAGATAAAAAGTAGTAATCCAAAGGAAATAAGAGGAAGAAAATTACAGATATGAGAAATTAATAATTTAGAAAATAAAATAGCAACATTTACCAATTAAATTCTGATGTGGGAGAAAGGAGAAGAAACAATTATGAGTTAAATCTTCTGGCACAGGTAATCACTAAAAATAAAATAGTACATGTAATTAAAATGAATAATTACAATATGTGAAAAATGTAATTCAAAGGGATACTTTATAATTATTATGCCCTATGCCAATATATACTCTATGAAACAGATCACTTTTTCTGGGGAAAAAACATAAGTCAATGCAATTGATTCAAGAGCAAGTAAAAAACCTGACTAGACTGATAATCTCAGGAAAAAAATACCAAAGAATTTACCCCAATAAAGACCCTATTGCCAGATAGTTTTGTAGATAGTGTTTTAAGAGTCTAAAGAAGCAAAATTCCTTTGCTCTATTTATGTTGTGTTTCGAGAGCCTAAAATGTATGGAAATTGGCTGGAGTCGTAGCTCAGCAGTAGAGTGCTTGCTTAGCATGTGTGAAGTCCTGTGTTTTACACCCTGTATGGGAAAACTTTTTTAAAAAAGAAAATCTACCAGATTCATCTTGAGATACTGGCATTTCTCTAGCATCACACATTGACAAAAAATGATAGAAAAGAACTTCACACATGAGCACAGAGCTGAGTACCGAGAGTGAGACTCAGCTCTTGGATGGGTTTGTGTGACCTACATTTGATTGTGCGTGGTTTTTTTTCCCCTCATGTTTACAAAAGGAGAGGTTTCACCCAAAATCTAGATTTCTGGTGAGTCCAAAGAAATGAAAAGATCTGAAATCACAGAGCCTGTTTCTTACATGAGGACCGTGGGCTGCACTGAGACTGAGGGTGGGCCTGACACGGATCCTCTTCCCTGCAGGTCTTCCGGACCCATACCACTTCCCAAAGTCTCTTTGGTACTATGGCCTAGCATCACTGGACAGCTTTGTTTGGAGTGCAGTACCGGGTCTTGAACCCAGGGCCTTTGCATGAACGACATCTCCAGCCCTTTTAAATTTTTAAGTTTTGTAATATGCTCTCGCTAAGTCACTGAGTTGGACAGGTTGCCCTCAAACTTTCTATCTTCCTACCTCAGCCTCTCAAAGTGCTGGGATTACAGGTGTGCACCTGTCTCTGGCCATTTAAAAAAATCATGCTTGCAAATAAACATTTTCCTGTATCTTACATCTTTCAAAGGTGAGAAAATAAAAGAACAAACAAGACAAATGTATATCTTAAGAAAAGTTGGAACCCATTTGAGACCCCTCCTGTCTCCCAGGAGCTATTCTTATTCCCAATTCTTACTTTCTATTCTTGTTCCCCAATAAATTTTCCTACTCTTAACCTCTGTTGTTCCTTAGACAAACGTGGCATATCTGACATCTAGCATGGTGGGAATAACATCTATTCCCCCTATGTCACCCCTTCTGTCTCTCTTAGGAGCTGTCTTTCTCTCAATAAATCCTTCCTAAATATGGTATTTATACACAATTTATATATTTATACACAATGAAGTACTACTCTGCTCTAAAGCAGGATAAATTTGAGTCATTCGTAGAAAAATGGAGACACCTTGAAAACATACTATTAAGTGAACTACTATAAATCAGACGCAAGCTTAAATATTACATGGTTTCTCTTATATGAGAAACCCAAAGTGTAAAAAAATTTAAAGAGCAAGTAGATAGATAATAGGAAACAGAGAGCTAGATTTTTTTGCAAATGGAAAAGGTACCAAGAGATAGATGGAGATGAGAGGAAGAGAAGAGGAAGTAAAAGGAATTAAGATGAGTTTGTTATGTACAGGCACCAATTCCCCACGATGAATGTAATCATTATGTACCACGAACATGTGCTAATAAAAATTTTCTAGGGCCAGGGATTTAGCTCAGTGGTTCCGCCGCCTGCCTCACAAGCAGAAGGACCTGAGTTTGATCCCTGGTACCAAAAAAAAAAAAGAAAAGAAAAGAAAAGAAAAAGCTGCTTCATAGTCTACAGTACTTGCCTTACAGTGAAGTTATAGTAATCAGAGCAGTGTAGGGTTACCATGAAGAAGGCTAAGGCTAAATCAATCAACGGAACAGAAAGGAATCCATGAATATTTTACTAATTTGCTATTTGACAAAGACACCAAAGCAATTTAGTGGAGAAAATGAGTTCCACCGCACACAGAGGCAGTTGGCATCACTGTTTTGGTCAGTTTGGGGTGGTTTACTCCAGAATCCCCAGAGCATTAGAACCATCAAGCACAGCCTCAGCACGGCCATCTCATGTGGGTCAGGGGTACTAAGAGTCAAGGGAAGGAACATCACTGTACTGTGAACATGGCTCTTCTGTTATTTCCTCCCCTCCTAGCCAGCAAAGCACAAACATGTCTACAAAAGGGCACTCCTCAAAATATTTGGATTTATTGACCATAGTGAGGTAGAGAAGGGCGAATGACAGAAAGCTATTATTGCTGTGTTAATACTTTTGTTCCTTTTAAGAGCTGTAGTTGTGCTTTGTATGATTTTTGTTGGGCCTTTGGGCCTGGTGGAATGCTGAAGGACAACAGGTCTGTCTTGGGGAAGGTATACTCTTTCTTCCTTGACCTTTATTTAATTCAGGACACACTTGGATTTAGAAGCTCTTCTCAGTGCAGGATGCTGTGTCCCTGCTCTTGGGGTGGGAGGTGACAGGTCATGAATTTGTGTTTTCCAGGCTTCTCTGCTGCCTGGAAGGATATCACTGGGCCAGAGACAGTGAGTGGCCTGGAGCGGGGCTCACTGACTGTGCAATGTCGTTATACCTCCATGTGGAAGACCTACACGAAGTGGTGGTGTCGAGGAGCTGTCTGGAGTAGCTGCAGGATCCTGATTAAAACCAATGGATCAGAGAAGGAGGTGAAGGAGGAGCGTTTGTCCATCAGGGACTACCAGAAAAATCTCATGTTCAGTGTAACCATGGAGGATCTCAGGGGAGATGATGCTGACGGTTACTGGTGTGGGATTGAAAGAACTGGATCTGACCTTGGGGTCCAAGTTAAAGTGACCATTGACCCAGGTAAAAGTGTATATGTGTGGTTGTGTCCCCGGGGTCCCACATAAGTGAATTAATTGTCACTCAGAGTGACTGGTCACAGAACGGGGTTGAGTCCTGAGGTCTCATAGAACCTCGAATGGGCACTTGGGATTGGGAAGGGAAGAGCTTCTCTTGAATACTCCCGGGTCCCAAGGTCTTTTCCAACTCAGGATTAAGCCTTCCCAGGCATGTTTTCCTCACTGCACAGCTCAGTCCTGGGTCTATTGCCCATAGAGGACAACATGGTGGTCCCCTATTTCAGTCCTTGGGCTAAAGAGATCCTCTTCCATGGTTCCCAGAGATCCCAATCCCTGCCACTTCTTTCTTGGGACTTCAGTGCCTGAGGATAACCTGCTCTTTGGGGAGCTCAGCTTTCACAACTGCTGTTCTTACCCTGTGTTGTCTGGCGCTGTGGTCTTATTTCTGAGGGCTGGAAAACCTTCACAGTGAAACAGCTGCATTCCTGGTGCCTGAAACCCCTCTTGGAGCCATTGTACCTTTGAGCTTAATTTCATTCTCTTTCCAAGTCCTTCTAGGATGCAGACATTCCTGGAAGGGTTAGCTCGAGGTCCCAGTGCCTTGGTTTGGAGGATTTTCTCTCTCAGGGTCTGTTTCTGCTGCCTCTCAAACAGGCAACACCAGCTCTAGCATCCCTGGGGGTGTGAAGCCAGTATCACCATTGTCAGGGCCCTTGCCAGTCTGGGAGTCTCTGCTCCTGTTCTCATTGGCACAATGAGAACTTGCACTGGTCTTGAAAATACTGTACCCCCAGGGAGGGAGGTGTCTCTGTTATTGGAGCTTCATATCTAGCTTGAAGTAAAGGCCTTCCTGAAAGCTATCATTTTTGTTCAGGGAAGGATAAATTAATCAACAGAACAGAAAGCCAAATCCGTAAATAATTCAAATTTGCTCTTTGACAAAGACCTCAAAGCCATTCAATGAAATGGGATCTGTGCACTATGGGTTCCACAGCACAAGGAGACAGTTGGCGTCACTGTTTTGGTCAATCTGGGGTGGTTTACTCCAGAACCCCCAGAGCATTGGAGCCACTAAGCGCAGCCTCAGCAGAGCCATCTCATGTGGCTGCATCAGCTGGGCCTTCTGAGGGTCAGGGGTACTAAGAGTCAAGGGAGCATCACTGTCCTGTAGACATAGCTCTTTTAAAAGTCTGACTGACCTTAGAAGTCTGGTGTGGGATATATGTTAGTCACCATGAAAGTTCCCACTCTGCTCTTGTTCTTGCTGGGTAAAGGAGCCAGGTGAGAGGTATTGGCTGAGGCATGACCATCAGCAATGGGTTTGCTTAACGTCTAGCTGAACTCCAGTTATCCTTATCCCAAGACTCTTCCTGGGCCCTCTATTGCCCTCCCAAGGCCTATTCCCTGTCTTTGGACTTGTGCTCACCCACCTGCCCTGGAGGCTCTGGACTCTCCTAGAAGCTCTGGGGATATGAATGATACAGGGTACAACCCCTGTACACAGCCCTATTCCAAGCACGTCTGGCTGGGGTGGCCCATGCTCCTCCAGGCTCAGACTCAGGTCCTGGGCTATGGGAGGGCTGGCAGGAGAGTAGCATATAATCTGATCTGTATGCCAAGCACCAACTACAGTGCCCACCACAGTCCCGACCACAGCCCCCACCACCTCTGTCTCCACCATGAACACATTTACAGCGCCAGCCACCACAGAAGAGACCAGAAGCCTCCTGACTCCAACCAATTCCTATCATTCCAGTGACAGGTAAGCCAGATCCCATGCTGCTGTCCTCTCTGGCTCAATTGGCCCAAACCCTTCCAATGGGAACATCTTTGAAAACTCAGTCCTCAACTAGAGCTTGGCACTGGGCCTGGAGGCTCTTTTGTGAGGGTGAGGATCTTGGGGACCTTCTCACTTGGTCTCAGCTCCCATAGATTCTGCATTCTGGAGCACAGAAAAGTCTAGTTTTCATTAATTAATTAATGTATGTATGTATGTATGTATGAATGTGTCCCACTTTTACTGAGTTTTACATGGCAGGAGTGTGCTGGGCTCTGGGGATCTAGATGTACAATTTGAGGTGGGGGCGTAGGTGGTCTGTGAGGACAGTGGGTGGTGTGTGTGTGAAGAAGTACAGAGAGGTAGGGCTACTGGATGGCTCTTGGTTCAACTTCTGTGTCGCCAACAAGGGCTTGGGGGAAGTCCCATTTCCCCTAAGTACTGTGATGGCAAGCCCAGTGACACTGGTAGTTCAGGTCTCTAGAGCTTATGAAGGGCTTTCTTGTCATTATTTTCTTTGACCTGGCCCAAGACCACCCATGAAGAGAAATGGGTAGACATGAATGTTCCTTTTCTTTGGTAGTAGTAGGGAACAAATACAGGGGCTCTCCACTGAGCTACATCCTCAGCCCTTTACAACAATTTTTGCTTTTTGAGACAGGGTCTCATTATGTCACTAAGTCACTAAGATGCCCAGGCTGGGCTCCAATGTGTAATTCTCTTTCATTATCCTCGCAGAATGTTGGGATTGTAGGTATGCACCACCACATCCAGCCTAATGTTCCCATTTTACAGAAGAAGAAACTGAGTCTTGGTCACTTCTTTGGTGGGGGGTGCTCTGGAGTTTGGATGGAAGTATTTGAACTCCAGAGCTTGGTTCATGCTCCTTAGCACCCTTCCATGGCATCTGCAGTCAAAAGGCTTTCTAGAAGCCAAGAAGCTTCTTTCATTTCCTTCTTTCACTTTCCTTGACCCCCTTGACTTTGCTTTTAGAACTGGCAAGGTCTTTTATTGCTGGGACCTTGCCACAAAATCCCCATGGCAGATCCTTAATCTTTTCACCACCAGGGACTCTTTCTCTTCCCCCTCTCCCATTTGCCCCCTGTTTTTAAAAAAATAAATAACAGCTAAGTAGTTTCATCATTTTATTAATCTAAGCTTTATTAAGGCCTTTGATTAGCACAAGATGGATAATTCATTTGCTTACTCAAGAAATAGTTACTTAGCATCCACTCACACCTATTCCTATTTTAAGGAACACAACGGGGCATAAGGATGACCAAGATAATCAAGGCATTTGCCCTCAAGGCAATTACAATCTCAAGATAATCAATGTAACCATTAGTTGATATAATTAATTGAGAATTTTATCCTTCATACTTCTACCACTTCAGTGATGAGTAAGAGTTCTTTCATTCATTTACTAGGGCTGCCAAAATAAAGCACAACAGGCTGGGGGCTTAAAAACAGAAATGTATTTTCCCCAAAATTCTGGGTGCCAGGAATCCAAGCTCAAAGTGTCAGTGTCTCCCGAGGTCTCCCTCCTTTCCTTGTAAATGGCTGTATTAGTCAGTTTTCCTGTCACTGAGACACAATACCCGACACCCAAAACTTAAAGGAGGGGAGGTTTGATTTAACTTATGGTTTCAGGGGATTCAGTGCGTAGTCAGCTGGTGCCAAGGCTGAACCATCATGATGAAGTGAAGATGCTTTTTACATGGTGGATGGGAAAGGGATCAAGGGAACAGTGCGAAAGAGGAAGGGGTGAGGGACCAGATACATAGTTCAACCTCCACAACCCACGCAGACACACCCAGAAGTGTGCTTTCCTTGTACTAATCCCCTAGGTGGCTCCCAGGCCAATCAAGTTGACTCACTTGAGTTTAACCACCACAGTAGCCATCTTCCTCCTGGGTCCTCACAGGGTCTGCCCCTTTGGGCGTCTGTGACCAGTCACACCAGGTTAGGGCCTACCCTCAAGGACCTCATTGAACCTTAACAAGGTCTTTAAAGACTCACAGTCTGAAGTATTGAAGGGAGAATCTGTCCCAAGCCTGTCTTTTAGCTTCTGGTGGCTGCCAGTTGCACCACTCCAGTCTCTTTCTCTGCTGTGACCTGACTGCTCCCTGTGTCCCCTGCCCCCCCGCCCCTGTCCAGGGGATCAAATGCAGGACCTTGTGCTTTCCAGGCAGGTGTGGCGCAGCACCACGGAGCTACATCCCTGGCCCATGCCCACATTTCTCTCTGTGAGGATGGGCCGGGGATTTAGCTCAGTGGTTTCGCCGCCTGCTGTGCAAGTCCAAGGACCCAAGTTCAATCCCCAGTACCAAAAATAAACCAAAAAAAAGTTAAATCTCTCTGTGAGGATAACAGTCATTGGATTAGGAATCACCCTTGTCCAGTGTGACTTTGTCTTAGCTTAATTACACCTCAAAGACCTTATTTCTAAATAGGTCACATTCACAGGCTCTGAGTGGACACAAATTTTGGGGACTGTATTCAACACAAGTATCGAGACATGATAAAAATATATGGTGAATGTTTAAATAAAAATCATTACAGTAAAAGACACAGTGCCATAATTTTCCCTCAAAATACTTGCCCTTGCTTCGAACACACTTACACCATCATTCTTACTGTAATTAATATGCTTTAAAAGATTTAAACATTCACTATGGGTTTCAATCACCCTTTGTACAGGAGGAGGGAGGCCTGTCAGGAGCTACTGCCACAAGATTTCTGTCAGGCTTCTAGCTGCACTGGAACTACCTTGTGGAACCCTCTTTTTATTAAAAACCATCTTTTAAAGATGGTTTCTTTTAAAAAACTTTCTTTTAAAAGTTTTATTAAAAAATCGAGGGTGAGGGCGAGTTCGATCCCCAGTATCAAACCAAACCAAACCAAACCAAACCAAACCAAACCAAACCAAACCAAAAAACTGAGGGTGAGAGTTCCTGGCTGTAAACCACAGTCTTGCAGTCCATGAGGTGTGTTCCTCTCTCCTGCTACTGGGTGGCTGGGATAGGGCTTGGGGTGGAAGGTGAGCCTGGGTACACAGGGTTCTGTCTCCTCTCTCTCTCTCTCTTTCTAGGGCATTAGACCCAAGGCCTTTGTATTGAGCTACATCCCAAGCCCTTTTCCTCCTTTCACTTTTTTTTTTTCTTTTTGGTTTGACACAGGGTCTTTTTAAGTTGCTCAGGCTGCACTTGAACTTACGACCCTCCTGCCTTAGCCTTCTAGAGTGGCGGGATTACAGGCGTGAACCATCATGCCCAACCCTCTGTTTGTAGGTACAGCATCATAGACCTCAGGGTCCTCCTCCCGCTCATCTTTGCAGTGTTGCTGCTTGTCTTGGTGGCGGCCTCACTCCTGGCCTGGAGGATGATGAAAGGTGAGAGGGCCTGGCCCTGTGGGGCCGGGCCTAGCTGGGTCAGAGTGTGTGGGGCTGATGGATGGCATCATCCTTCAGGAGCTGGGTGGACCAAGGCGTTACCCATAGCCTGGAAGGGTCACTGTCCCAAAGGCCACCAATATCTGGCAGCCTGAGGGGTTAGGAGTGGCCTGGAGCTTGTAGATGAGCCCAGTGAGGTCCGAGTTGTGGTGTCAGCTGCCTGCCCTGCACATGCCTCCTGCCCTTCTCATCTCTCTGACCCACTTTCTTTTGTTTCCTGGTTTGGCTCTCAGGGGCAGAGGTGGCAATGGCAGCCCATTTTGGATCTGTGTGGCTGTCAAAGAGGTACTGAGTTGAAATGGGGGGAAGGGAGAAAGAGCCACACACTGAGAACACAGCAACCCCCAGAGTACATGCACAATTGTGAACTTGTGTAATACAGGCATGCGCATTTTCACATGTGACACACGTTTGTGCGCACATGACACAGTCCCCTAGGTCTGACCGGAAAAGTCAGTATGACTCTTTCTTCTGCTTCTCTGCTGCCCACAAGCCTTGCCCAAGCCAAGCTCCTTGCTCTGCACGACCTTGCTTTTTCAGGGAAGAGGTCTTTGCTCAGAGATCACGAGGTATGGCCTCAACCAAACGTTTTCCTGTCTGGCTTTACTTCCACTTTCTCAGAGAGCTTCACCCCGTTTCCTTCTCACAGTGCCTGGGGCCTGAGCTTTGAACAAGCCTTCCCACTGCCATGGCCCGGGGGTGGGGGTGGGGCTCCAGTCGGGGAGGATGTGAGCCTAACTCACATTTATCACTTTTCCTCCCAAGTGTGCACTCCATGACCCTTGTACATCTAAGTGCTTTCAGTGTGCCTTGGGGTCCAGATGTATGAAACTGAAAACTGATGGGAGAGACTCCCTTGTTTATTTATTTTTTCTCTGGAGCAGGGAGCGTGTTGGTAGGGGAGAGTGAAGGCAGAAAGAAATGCAGGAGCCAGCAGCCCCCTGAAAACCAGTCCACGCTATGCTGAGCCAGCTTGCAGGTTCCATTTGGGGGCAGTGTGGAGCAGACCTGCCTCTGGTTGAACACCCACCTGCCAAGCCTGTACACGCACATGGATACCAGGAGGGATTGGACCTACCTACCATCCTGTCTGAAGACAGCTGGAATTCAGTGGGATAAATGGGACAGGAAAGACCAAAGCAAGTGCCATACAGGGAGGGAGTAGACAGCAGGCATGACTCTGAGACCAGTCATGAAGGATGTATCAGGTGGAGCAAAGTACAGTGGGCAGAACTTCTGTGACCATTTACAGGCCATGCCCAGGACTTTGCAGAAGAAAACTGAACTCCAGGAGCCAAAGGCTGGCAGGGTCACCTGACCACTTGATTACGGCTCTGTGGTTGGGTCGTCTGCTTTTTAGGTGGAGCAATGGAAGCTCAGAGAGGTGATGTGACCAATATCACGGAGTGATAGAGAATTAGAACCAGGTCCTTGTCACTGAGACTGGAGCCTTGTTCCTCCTTTTGCGCCCCCCCATATTTCTCTTTTCTGTGCGTGGGGACCTCTGTGAATCTCAGGGATGGGCTTTCTAATTCTGGGTTGTTTTTGTCTTTTAGCTGCTGCACTGTCCTCAGAGCAGGTAAGAGTCCCTGAGCTTGGAGCAGAGAGACCAGTCAGCTCCTTCTCCCCGTCCTTGTTTTCTATTTCCCAGGAGCTCAGGCGTCTACATGTTTCACATGATCCATGGGCCAAAGTAGTCATGTACTCATGGCCCCTGCAGGCCTGGGAGGCTGAGGGGCCTGGAGACAGCCAGAGGGTGGATGCCTGGGGGACATGGGGGGCTGAGAAGTGGGAAGCATGCAGGGAGCTGGAGGGAGTCATAAGAAAGCAGAGAGGCTCTTGTCTTTCCATGGAAGAGGAACCTGTGCCCACAGATCAGGTGACTCTAGCCTGTGTTCTCACCTGCAGCCCGTGGAAGGTGACCTCTGCTATGCAAACCTGTCTATGCATCAGCCTGGAACCTCCTGGCAAAAGCCTTCCACCAAGTCCTCCTCTGCCCAGGCCAACCAGGGGGAAGTGGAATGTGTCATCATGGTGTGTCCTTTGTGGGGGCTGCTGTGGGGCTGGGGAGGGCAGATGTGTCTCTGGATCCCTTTGGAGGATGGGTTTTCTCATGCTCATGTGGGTACCACTGAGGAGGGTGGGCATTGGGCAGAGCCTCAGTAACTACAGTACTAGCCTGAGGAGCCCTTAGGCTTTCAGAAGGGTCTGGACTCCAGGTCTCAATGCTGGGGACTCAGGGATCGTCTGATGTGGTCCTTGTGCTGGGCAGGAGAGAGCCAGGCTGGATGAGTGGTGCCTGATTTTATAGGAGGCAGCTGCCCCAGGGCAGAGGTGGGCTCTATGTGTTGTGGCTGCAGATGGTTGGGGTGCTTGGCAGAGCAGAGGGAAGCTGGAGTACTCAGGAATGGACTTCACAACCCTTGAGCTCCCCACCTTTCTCTTCTGGGTTATTTTTCATCCTGACCCATAGTCACAGGCTCCTGCCAAGCTCTCTGACCTTACGACCATGTCTGTTGCAGGCTCCCTTTCCAAGAGAAGAAATTTCTTATGCATCTCTGTGTTTGGACATCTTGGATCAGGAACCAACCTACAGCAACACTGACCACACTCCCAGCAGGGCCTATGAGGAGTCTACAGAGTATACCAGCATCAGGAGGCCTTAGCCTGTGTTTGAACTCCCTCTTGGACCTTGCACAAGGCCATGGATCATGTTGCTGCTTATCTGTTTTCTGCCCTTGTCCCTCACCAGGACCAACCAGTGACTGAAGCTCTGTTTGATCAGCCACCATGGCCCCCAACTCTGGCCTGTGCTTGGAGACCAGTTTTGGAGGACTTCGAGGAATTAGGGCTCTTTCCACATTCCCCTCACTCCTCATCTAGTTTGGGAGGAGCCTGGAGATATGGTCTGGGACCGCATGTGAATAATAATGATAACGATGATGATAATAATAATTACCCTTTATTTATTGCTTACCATGTGCAGTGAGCTGGAGAATAGCCCCCAAAGATGTCTGCATCCTACCCCCAGAACCGGCAAATGTACCATACATGGCAAAAGACAAAGAGGACATGTGATTAAGTTAAGGATTTTGAGACGTGGAGATTATTCTGGATTATCCAGGGGGCCTAAAATATAATCATCAGGCTCCTTCTAAGGAGGCAAGAAAGTCAAAGGGGGAGAAGCCAATGTGATGCCAGAGGTGGAGGCTGGAGCAATGTGGCCAGGAGCAAAGGAACCCTGCAGCCTCCAGAGGCTGGGGCAGGCAAGGGAAAGGTTGTCCCCTGGAGCCTCCAAAAAAACCACCCTTGCCAGCGCCTTGGGTTGAATTCAGTGGAACTAACTTTGTAATCCTGGCCTCTGGAACTACAGGAAAATAAATTTGTATTGTTTTTAATTAAGTCACTAAATTTGTGGTAATTTGTTGCAGCAGCAATGAGAAGCTAGGTGGCAGGTGTTCTTCTCTAAATGGTTCATGTAGAATAACCTGTTTCATTTTACAAGGGTGCTTCTATTATTGGTCCATTTTACAGATGAAGAGCTGAGGTCCGGAGAGACTCAGCGATGTGTACCAAGTTTAATGGGCAGTGAGAAGGTAAGTGGAACCTCATTTGGATCCAGAATCTGGAGTCTGGGCCACTACCTGTCCTGTTTGAATAAGCAAGATAATGTGTATATGCTCACACTAGCTACTCATGCTGGGACAGTGAGTATTTAGAAGCTGGACTTACTATCTTTTATTCTAGGGTCCTTGCAGTCTCCTCTCCAGCATACATCCTGAATCCCATGGCATCTCTTTGTTTCCATGGTTACCAATGTAGTCCAAGCAACCACCCCATCCTGACTGTTCTCCCTCTTTCACCCTCAGCCTCTGAATCCAGCAGCCAGAGTGATATTACAAAGCACAGAGCTGATCACCTGCTGCTTATGAACTTCCAGTGGTTTCTTCCTCAGCCTTCAGGGCTCTAGGGAATCCACACGCTGCTGCCTGCCCCTTGGGGTCATCTCCATCCACTCTCCCTCTCCCTCACTGTGGTCCAGCCACACCAGCCTTTCCTGTGTCCATCTAACAAGATGCTATGGTTTGAATCTGAACTGTGTCTCCAAGGCCATATGCTAAAGGCTGTCCCCCAGCCTGTGGTGCTCTTGGGAGGAAGTGAAGACTGTTGTAGGTAGAGCCCAGTGGAAGGAAGTGAGGTCCCTGAGGGCGTGGCCTTGAAGGGATAGTGGGACTTGGCCCTCTTTTTCTTTCTGCTTTCTGGTCACCAGGGGGTGAGCAGCTTTACTCTACCACGTGCTCCCCACTGCAGCCCCAAAGCAATGGCTCTAAGCAACTGTGGATGGAAACTTCTAAAACCCAAACCAAAAATAAACCTTTCTTCTTATAAACTGATTTAGCTCAGCGGCATGGCACCTGCCTCGCAAGCACAAGGTCTTGAGCTTGATCCTGGGTACAAAACCCAAAAAACAAAAACACCTGATTATCACAGGTATTTTGTCACAGTGATGGAAAGCTGACTAATATACAAGATCAGGCTCACTCCCTTCTCAGGACATTGGTACTTGCTGTTCCTTCTCTCTGGCATGTTCTGCCCAAGGTCACATAGTTGCAAAGTGACTGGGCTGGATTTCATTCCAGCTCTGCCTCTTTCTACCACTTCTGTGAGTAGTTAGGTCATTTTCCTCATCACATTGCAACTCAAATGTCACCTCTGAGTGGGGACATCCCTGACCACAACCCATGCTCCCCACCTGTCTGTCTCATTGCCCTACTTTATTTCCTTAGTAGTACGTGATCTGCTGTGAAATTACTAATTTTATTGGTGTGTGGGTTTGTTGTTTCTCTGTTCCCACTAGGTGGCATTCTCCCAAAGGGGACGACTATCTCACTTCTTCCTGTATCCCCCTTGCCTAGTAGAGTCTACCATGTGGGAGATTCCCACATGTTTGTTGACTCAATGAATAAATAACACAGATGGTTCAGACTTGGGAACACAGGGCAAGCTCCGAGGAGCAGGGACAGCAGCATCCATCATTCCAGGAAGGGAGTCCTGGCCAGGCAATTTAAGGAGTTTTGGGATTCACTTTCCTAAAGCGCGCAGTAGAGAGATCTCTCTCCTCTCCTGAAAACCTGGGTGGGTGGTGGGTGGGTGGGGGAAGGGCAGTAAGATCCATGTTGCTGGAGACAAAGGACTTTACGTGGGTCAATTTTGGTGGAGGCTGAGGATAAAGTGTCAGAGAAAGGCACCCTGGCTTTCATGGGAAAGAAGGACAAGCTAGGTCTGAGGGCCACAGCAAATGAGCCAGCAAGGGGCCATAGAATGTCTAGTGGGACATTATCAGGCTGTCCTGGGGTTTGCCTGGCCGCTCATAACTCTGGACAGCCCAAAGGGACCTGGGACAGATATCCTTGGTGGGTGGTTCCGGTATCCATTGCTCCAAAGATGATTCCCTTTCACCCCCACTCCCCCAGGGATTTTGCACTGAGCTACATCTTCAGCTCTTTTTTGTGTTTTTAAGTTTGGGAAGGAGTCTTACTAAGTCACTATGTTGCCCAGGCTGGGCTTGAACTTGGGATCGTCCTGGCTCAGCTCCCCTCAGAGCTCTAGAATTACAGGTGTGCACCACCTGTCCAGCCTGCCTCCCTTAAGAGCCTTTTCTTCTTGGGGGGACTTGCAGACCCCTAAAATCTCAACATTTTTTTGGTACTGGAGATCGAACTCAGGACCTTGTGCTTGCAAGGCAGGCGCAGTGCTGCTGAGCTAAATCCCTGGGCCTCTTGACTGTTTTTGAGCTGTTCATTTAAGCTGGTCAGGTCAGAGGGAGACTGTTTTTGACCAGTCTGTTTGAAGATGTACAGAGCGAGATTGACTACAGAGAGATCTATAAATGGAAAAGCTCAAGGGAGAGCAAAATTAGAGTGAGATGAAGTATAAGTGTAAAAGTCATAACATATAGCCTCACTGTGCTGTTTTAATGATTGTGCATAAAGTGGCTTTATTTCTGAGTCTAAGTAGCCTGTACCAAACAGAGTATATAGGTACAGGCTTGTCTTTCTGGTGATACATGATCACAGAGCATTACTGCCATGATGCAAATAAGAATTTATCCCAGTTTAACTTGGCTGGAAGAATCTAGACAGTAGACACAGGCTGAAAATGGAAGTTTCTGGCAGCCTGGTTGAGCAGAGGAGGAGTAAATCAGCTTAGAAAGACTGATCCTGCTCTGCTAACTTTTAATTGCCTTAAACAAGCTTTGAAAGGTGTCTCTACAAAACAGATATATTGCTGGATATGTTGTAATCCCAAATCCCAGCCATCTGGATTGGTGGCTGTTTGGAAAGTCCCCTTCCTGCCTTTTTAAGTCCTCAGAGTTAGAGTTGCCCAATTCTTTTTTTTTTTTTTTTGGTTGACCAATTCTTGACGTTTATGAAGCAGTGCAGTCAATTCCCTAGCAGACAGAGCAGATTTCTGACTGTGTCCTGTTGGAAATGTCTGGCTGGGTTCTTTATGTGCTGGGTTGTAACAGCAGGAGTTAGCCTCTAATCCAGCCTGATTTGTTTAAGCTTGAACTAGAGTTTGGAGAATGCTGGAGAAGTAGTCAGGGTGGGGAAAGGGAGGCAGACCTAGGAAAGAAGACAGAAGGGAAACGGTTTCACAATGCTCACAGATCAGTACCTGAGTATTGTCTCAGCCATATCTTGCTGCTCCATAAAGATTTTCTAATGCAGATTTTGGGTGATTGGCCAGCATCTGCATTGCAAGACAGAGAATCCAGACATGGTTCCTCTGGTCTGAATGAGGGTGGCATTTACTATCTTGCTGTACTGTTTCCAGGAAGGCACATGCTGTTAAAACAAGCTCCAGTATATTGACATTCTCAGTTCTGATGGAGTGTCTTATTATTTATCGACCATCTAAAGTTGCTGGGGTTTCCCTCCTTTGGTTTCTGAATTATTAATATTTAAAGATTCCTCTTGATAAAAATTGGAGGATTTGGACTGTTGCCTTTGGAGAACTATGAGCATATCATTGGCTTCCAGAAGACGGATTTTATTTGTGTGTCAGTTGAAAGAGTACAAAAATACTCCCGGTAAGTACTGGATCGATATCTTCCAAAATATATGATTAAGGTAAATGTTGGATTGAAGTGTGGCTAAAGATTATCTTTGCTTGAGACTTAGCCTTAAAAATTAAGGGACATTTTGGCTGGGAAGGGCCAGACTACTAGAATCAGTTAATTTCATGTATCAATAATTTTTTAGATTGGAAGAGACAGATGGAATGGTTGGCCTTTTATTTTACCAAGTAGGTGCTTGCCTGCCTGCCTTCCTGCCTTCCTTCCTTCCTTCCTTCCTTCCTTCCTTCCTTCTTCTCTCCCTCCCCCTTTCTCTCTTCTTTTTCTTTTTTTAGTGATACTGAGGATTTAACCTGGTACAGGAGACTGCCCTGAACTACATTCCCAGCCCTTTTTATTTTTTAATTTTGAGCACTAAATTGCTACATTTCCCAGGCTGGGCTCAAATTTGTGACCTTTCTACCTCAGCCTCCCAGAGTGCTGGGATTACAGGTGGTGCATCACCGTGCCTGGCTCCAGTAGGTACTCTCTTATCCAATGTAATCGGGTCGGTTAATTATAAATGGGTCAGATCATTGACAACTAGAGAATCATAAAAGAGATACTGTATATCTTTCCTTCAAATGTTTTATTTTGACTCAAAATATCTACATTGTAGTAATCTGCTAGTATTTTTTTTTTTTTTGAGGTACTAGGGATTGAACTCAGGACCCTGTGCTTGCAAGGCAGTTGGCGGCACCATTGAGCTAAATCCCCGACCCTAGTCTGCTAGTATTTTGATGTTGATCTAATGCCTTTTCTTCTGGGGATAATGAAAGATGGGGAGGTCTCTCTTTTTTCTTACCTGAACCACCTGAATTGTATTGTCCACTTGGAGTTTCAGTTTCTCTGAAATGAAGCAAGATGTTCAAGCCACTTATGAAGCAATCTGTTGCAAAAGCTTTCTTTGTTTTTATATTTTTCCTCCCAGTATTTTATAGTTCTCTCACCCATTCCTAATTTGATAGCATTTAAAAAAATGATAGGTTTTAAAGTAGAATCTTTTCAAAGGAGTTAAGTTTTGTAGAAATTTCAGTCCCTTTTTTGTTTACATTCTTATTCCATTGATTAATATTCTTTTTGGTACCATTCTTCATTAGTTTATGGGTGGAATTCAATTATATCATAGTAATTAATGTGTATTAGTGGCATAAGCAAACTTGGGCCTAAGCAGGAGACTCTTGCTATCTGCACACCTTAATGGATGGGCATAGATGTAAGTGGTCTCTCGGGAAAGAATCTCCCTGAGGAGATGTGTGATGAACCACACACACA